CTTGGGTATTTCTAAGTGATGCTAAACTGACATCAGAATGACCACGTGTTGTACATAATTGTTTGTTGTGTGTAACTGTTGTAACATTTCCCATTCCTTTCACGAATCTATGAAAATCTCCCTCCATTCTTGTTGGCTCAAATGCAGGTGATTCTATCTGCATTGTCTTTTTAACATGGTGTTTCGTAAGAACTTTGAGTCGTCTGTACAAAGTAGTGTGTAAGGGTACAAATTCTGAGACGTCAGTATGAGTCATTATATTTTCTGAGAATTCTCTTGCCCCTGTTACGCCTTGAATGAAACTTTCAAGCTGTTCAGCTCGTGCTCGTAGAGATGACTTTTTAGCATCAGTTAATATTGAAACCTTTTCCCTCAGGTCTTCTCGCCTTCGCTCAATCATATCGTGACATCGTTTGACGGCATCATCTAGTTCCTGTTCCACTTCAAATTCTTTAATGTCTAAATTAACCATTTCCTGTTCTGTTTGTTTGTGAAGCTCCTTTGCAATTTTTACGTCTTCTTCGAGCATACGAAATATTTTGTTAAGTTCGTGCTTCTTTTCTATATGCACATCTTTCATGTTTTGGATGATATGACCTCTGTTTTTATCATGATCACAGACTGTACAAGAGGTACATATCATTTTTTCACATCCTTTCTTTGCACAATAAAAACTTAAGTGCTGACCTTCATGACCCTGCTTATTGCATTTTAACCTCCTCTTGAAAATTTCTGGTCCTTGTTTTTGAAGTTGTTCTACAGATAAAACTGCATGGTTTCTAGATGCTAAACTTCGTCTGTGAGCACGAGTGCATTCAAGACACATAAAAATGTAACACTCTTTGCAGAATTCTGAAGCAACGTTATCGTCTGGACAGTCTTTGCAAATGATATCAGATGATCGCTTACGCACGCGCAAAAACTCAATAAGATTTCTACGAGTAGCGTCTTTTGGGAATACATATATACCCTCACTTGGAAGGAGATACTCTGTTTTACACATTGGACATGGCAATACTTCTCCTTTTAACATTTTCCTCAAACAACTTTGACAAAATGTGTGTAAACATGGTAAAACTCTAGGAACATGCAAATCCTCATCAAAATCTTTCGTGCAAATACTGCACAGAAGAAATTCTTCTTTAACGTCTTCTGCTCGGAGCATTTTGTTCATATGTCAATAGCCTAGGAAGAAAAATGTTATTCAATTAGTTGTTTTATATTCTTCCAAAAACTGGTATCTGGGTTCATAATAGCAACGGAAAGTTAAGAAACCAAAACGCTCAATAAATTTTCATAGTTGGCGCTTTTTGAAATCCTAATTATAGCTCTCATATATACAGTTTATGATTAAAAGGTTAATATTGTTCGTCTGGTATGGGACAAGTATTAAATGTAGGATAGATAAAAAAAGGGGGAAGGTTTCGAATGTATCATCATTTCCGATCACAGTTAATTTCTAGGAATGCATATTCAAGTCATCAAAAACCATACATGTACGCCTTACGTTATTCAATATTACATGGGCATCCACAATTGGTAATACCCCTCGTTATCACACGCAAATTTAATTGCTCATTTCTTGCAGGACAAAACTCTAATTGAATAACTAACCAAGACTTCTTAGCAATGTGAAAATATGCCAATTTATTTAGTGTGCATCATATTTACAAGTGCCTTTGACCTTGAATATCAATAAGGGATGTCATCTCCTCGATCTTGTGTCATAAACAAGTTCGATTTATAGACTTTAAAGTAATCGGTGTCTTTTAAACCATAGCTATAGCTTAAGTGGTTAATATGCATTGCGTCGATGTGGATGTGATTTTACGGGACCCAAAACTTCAGCTTGACCTTTGAAATTTGTCCTTAAAAAATCAAAAAGAAATCAAGCTCTTTTTGTATTAATTGTGTATATCAATTTTGAAAAGATTGATTGTGGCTTTTTTAGTGAAATTAACACACTCCTTCTACGGGCGGACAGTTACGCTACAGTATTTCCATATATGACATGTATAATAAACAAATATCACCACAATAGAATACTAGTATTTTAAAACAAAGTGATATTTCCGTAAAATATTAGAGTGCTGTTACGTTTCGTCAAACAACTAGGACTTCAAATTAGAATAGTCATTAGACAAAAACAAAGAAAGTGAAATTAATACATGTCAAATATATTTTGGGCAGTGCTAGCTTTGACAAACAGAGGGTTACATGGTACAAATATTTGTTTGTTTGCCAAAGTTTTCCACCTTCGATATTATTGAAAAAAATTACCGTTTCTGTTATCATAAAAATGTCCTTGTTAGTATTGCTTTGACAAGAGTTCAGCTTGTATGATTACAGCTAATGAAGAAATGTAATACAAAATAAAGAAAACCTGCCCACTGCATACAAAAAGATACTTAAATAAGAATACTGTCATGGAAAATGAAGAAGAAAAATACATCATGTCCTTAAAGGTTGATCGAACATATATAAGTATACAAAGTCATGTATATCAATTTCTGATACTTTCAAACTAAACTTTGGTTTAAGGTCTTAAAATGAAGCCTTCATCGGGTCGTTGTATTTTTAATGAGATGATTTGTGAAAAGGAAGAAGAGGAAGACATGCTATCAAAGCACAATGCCACCCTTTGTCTATGGAATGCCACTAGTGGAAAAAAATCAGCTTCTCCTTCCGGATCACCTGAGTTTGGTGCTGTTCGTGCTGCTCAGTCCTATCTATGTATTGCTTTGTAGACTTGTTGGTCGTTTCGTCGGTTTTTTTTCGTTTTTTGTTTGTCATTGTTTTTAATTTTTATTATTTTTATTACCCTTTGGTTTCTTCCGCCTCTTTATTGTAAAACATCAGTTTTGTATACGGCATTCCTTAAAACCATCTAGGGTCCAAATATACTTTACGAAAGCCGAGTGCCCATGTATCAATAGTCCGGCGTGAGTTCGACGAAACCCTATCATAATAAATGTTTTATGAAAGTTATTAAAATTACGTGTATTATGTCATTGATATGTTAATACTTACCACCATATGTCAGGATTGCACACACTTCGCAAATTAATATGTTCCTAGAGTTAATATACCTTGGTATTAAACACTCCTCTTGTCTTAGGAACAGGGGGAATCTCTGTGATTTTTTGTTGTTTTTGCTGCCAAAATAGTCTTTTGTACAAATGCAACACGGTCTATTGTACGTTCGAATTGTATGAGCGCTCCGTTTCACTTATCATAAATGAATAGTTTCAAAAGATCAAAATCTTTCCTTTAAATTTCTGTATAAGCCTTTAGAACTTACATATATATGTATGATGTCCTATGAGCTGTAGTATAACGGACGATTTAAAATTATATTTTTGTACGTTAATGGTTTTTATTCAGTACATATTTAAAATAAATTAAAATCGTTAATAATCACAAGTAAATGTTAATATATTGCTCATAATTTCATCTTTTGTCTGAAAGCATTAATAGGAGAATTGATTGCTAAATAGGTTGAGAATACGTAGACACTATTTTTTTCTTATTCAATTAGGTTCCATTTACGTTTATAAATGCTTTCAATACTTTTTGAACGATACAAAATGTGAATAAAAAGAGACGTGGGGTATACGACAGGAACCACGCGACACAACTAAAACGACCTAGATACAAATTATGTGAATATTAGTATAAAGACTAAACGTAATATATGATGACCGTAATATATTAAGTGTCAGATTACAAAAAAAATAATTACCCATTATAAGAAGTCACTGTTATTATCTAGCTCACCTGTCACGGAGAATCTTTTTTCATCACTTGGCATCCGTCGTCCATTAACTAATACCAAAAGCTTCTCCTCTGAATCTATTCAGCCAATGGGAACCAAAAGTAGTCCAAATAATCCTAAGTGTGCCTTGTTTTAAACAAATACCTGCCAACAGTGTATATAATCTTCAAAATTGTTATAGATCGAAAAATATGGCAAGAGCAGAATTGTTTAGAATGTTAAGATCTGCCTAATGTCCTCTTTGAGCAAAATTGTCAGACGACTCATGTATTAGATGAATAGAAACTGTAATTCAAATAGATTATAGGCCAAATGAGATCTTCAAATAAGTTTATACGGCTAACGAAGATGAACAGATCAGGGAGAAACTGTAAAAATCAAAAGTGATGTTTCATTTATAATTAAATAAATTCGTTGTTGATTTCCGCCATTTATACAGAAATTAGACGTAATAGGCTACTGTCCTGGCAGATTTTTTGGGGGTTTACAAAATATAAGTTCATAAAATTTTATATTTTCATAAAGCTTATACTTCAAACTTTCCAACGAACAAAAAATTGCTTACCAGACACATGCATTTTGAAGAAGATATTCAACTTTATCTATTGATTTTGAGCGAATTTCAACAACATTTCTGACGTAATAGGCTACTGTCCTGGCAGTATTTTTAAACCTTTAAAAAACGAAAAAAATATCAATAATGGATTTTTGGAATGATTATTCCCTAAACATTATAATCGTATAAATATATCATGCCAGACAGTTGTTTTTGAGAAATTATATTAATTATAAGTAAACTTTTCTCGGCAATTTCCACCATTTTTTTTCTTAAAATCTGTCCTGTTGATAGACCTTCCCGTTTGCAATTATCAACATACAACAAACACAATATTAGCAAATATTATTATGAATAAACTAATTTCACGAAAATTTATGTATTTTTTTTTATATTAAGGTAAATAAGAATTATTGTTTTCAGTGCCGCTGTGCTTAAGAAACTGACTGGCATATTGATATGAACATTATTTGATTTTTTTTTTAATGTCATTTCTTTAGATTTATACTATTTGCAAGAATTTGTGAAATAGCAGCCTTACGCAATAATTGTGTCACTAGTTTTCCCTTAGCCGTCAAATTGAAGATCAGATTAATTTCATTTTTTTTTCATTTCCCGCCATCTGTCACGTCTAAACACAGTTATCTTTCTTGGTACAATATTAGTGACGTCATTTTTTGCAACTTCCGCCATATTTTGTTGAAAGAACCAATGTGACACAGAATTATTTTAAAAACAATTCGAAAACACCAACCAACTAGGTACTGACAGATTTCTATTCATTCTACAGATAATATAGTGTTATTCCCAATTTCCAATGCGTAATGGTCAAATCGATAGTCCATCTATAACAAACAAAAATAAACTCGTTTGTTTACATATTTTTTTTATTTCCCTCAACTTCAATGTGTAGCATTGTCTTATTTGTGCGTTTTGTGTAACAATAACTAGAAGTACACTAGCTACGGAACCGTAGCTCTTTGGTCTTTATGATATTTTTTGACAATAAATAGATTTTAACAGAACTGTTGACATACACCATGTAAGTTGTAACATTAGAAGCGGAACCAAACATAGTTCTTTAATATGGTCCTTGTGATATTTTTTACAACAGGCCCCTTCACAGTTAGTGCAGCCATGATGAATAGGGGGCAGATTTTCATAATGGAGGTAAAAATGGTTTGAAAAATACGGGAAAACATCATTTAAAGAGGACAGTTGCTTGGAAACATGCATAGGATTTCCCATACTATCAGACTATTTCCCCTTCTATCCAAAAAAACTGCCCCCTATTCAGTATGGCCTATTAACAGTCCAAAGGTAACACAAGGTCATCAGATATTCAAAGAGATATTATTAAAGTTTATTGGCTGTAGGGGTCACTGTCTTGGGAAACAAGACATTTGGCCATAGAGCAGATTCAGACTTGGTCGTTTTGGCCATCGGCATGTTCCACTTCGGCCATGTAATATAAGTGGTTTCGGCTGTACTTTTATTTTATATCAAAAGAGATTTTATTGTATATATACCTTTTATAACTTTGAAAAATAACTTTTGTTTATTACACTTTTCGTAATGATGTTTTCTTAAAAAAAAAACAGTAGTGTGTACATCTATCCAGGGCTTCCAAAATTATAATAAGCCAGCCGGACATTTTATATATTATCCCGATTTTAATCCCTTAAGACTAAATAAACAAAAGGCAATTATGGTAATCAGTTGCCGAGTTGGCCATCCCAATGATTGATATTTAAAAAAATCGATATTAAACTTTCTTTGATTCAAATTTGAAGTTCTGACGTAAACTGTTAAATTGGCAGTGCATCATCCGAAGTGTGGAACATCAGCGTACTTATATCTGCCTTAGACTCTTTATTTGTGCAAAATAACGTTGTCAAAAACTTTACTTTCGTTTTTAATCTGAAACCGGATCTTATCTTGACAATGGTAAAACATAGACCAGAGACGGATACGTAAATTCCGTGTACGTTTGCAAAGCATGAATGAGTCTAAGTAGCTCATTCTACGTTATTTCTTCAAGAAAATATTCGAAATAAACGTGAGATAAAGGTATCAATGACAATTTAAGCATTTTTTGAAGAAATTAGGATGCATAATTAAATTTCACACATGCGCACATGTGTACTAGTTCAAACAGAGACATGTCTCTAGGTTCAAACAACGTGGTTATGACGATTTTTCATTTTCACCTCTTTAATTTTTTCATCAAATCTTATTTTTAAATGTATTTCTGATAATTTAAATCTTTTTGACTAAATTAATTAGATGCAAACCGGTGAAATGTAAGAAAATAACTTTGAATAGACCGATCAATGTCCGGTTCAAAATAGTTTACCTGTCACCTGAACAGGTAAATTTCAGCTGTTCGGCAATTAATTAGCCTTGATTAAAATGAGAAGATATTAAAGTAGGGGTTGTTTTGATAGTACTTAATCATCATGTCACTTTTATGACCGGAAATGTGTGGCTGTTAAAGGCAAAAGGTTGGGTCAAAAAGATCGCAAATTATGTTAAAATGACTGTCTCTTAAGAAAGCCTTGAAATCTAAAAAGTAGATGACCGTTTCGTGCTTTGCCCAGCCGGACTTTTACTGGACATTATACAAATGTCCGGAATATATGACCGTTTTGGAAGCCTTGCATCTATCTACTATAATAGTCCTCGTTGTAAGTAGTATTTAAAAGTAACCTAGGAGTTGATTGCAGATTACACATACAATTATTAATTTTTTTTGCTTTGATAATCATGATAATAAGTACACCATGTTTAACTTTGAATTTGTAATTGGTCACGTTTCAAAAAGAATAATATTTTTAAAGTGTGCTACATGTCCCTAGCTGCAGGGCTTCCAAAATGGCAGACCTGCCAACTCTTCCGATTTTCATGCCTCAACCCCAATCCCTATATCGGGACCGTAAAACAAGTCAAAATCCTGAGCACAGGCTTATGTATACTTTCACTGTTATAAAAAAATGCTAAAATTGTATACTTAATTTGACTCATTCCGTTGATATTCCGCCTTGTACCTATTTCTATGTGTCCATTGTGAGGCATTTGGAACTTGTTGAACTGCATGTCAAGATAAAAAAAGTGAAATATAAACAATTCATATTTTTCATAGATACACTCAATAAAAAATTGAAAAGAAAGTTTTTTTAGGTTCTATTAAAAAGAGAAGAAGATTGTATCTATGGAAATCTATATACAGATGGATGAATCTTTACCTGGCTCTGCCGACTGTGACATTTTCCATACACTGCATTATATTTATCTTTATTAAGAAAATCCAATCATATATTACTAAGAACTTTTTACTTTCCTCTTATGATTTTATTCAAAACATTGGTAGGCACAGACATTAAGAAAAAATGTATAATGGACCAAAACAACCAAGACCCAACTGGTATATGGCTGAAATGACATATGGCTGAAACGTCTCCAAAGCACTGTCTTCCTGAGAACTCTATAAGTATACCCTTGGAACTTTAATTATGTCAAATACATGTTGTAATAAGTGTTGCCCTAAGATATAAACATACTGATCAGAGCTGATCCAGGGGGTGGTCACCCGGTGCACAAAAATGGCAAAAATGGTGCACCATGTACATTTTAATGTAATATTTTGATTAATTTATCAATTTGTATATCACTGGTAATAAAGTTTTTATTACTTACCTTAAGGCGAAATACTGTACATGTACCTTCACATGTATGTTTATAAAATGATTATGTAATCAGCGATCGTTGAAAACTTCTTCGATTCCTTTGATGTGTAGGTGTGAAAATGAAGAGACAGTCTTCGATCTTAGATGTTTTCAGTAGGTAATTAATATTTTTATTGATATCACGTTTATCTAAATCTTAAAAGTTAAAATTTGTATGGCAACTTCCCTCAACCAGTAATGGTTTTCTTCTGTGATGCCAAAATTCAAATATTTTTTTATTAATTTTGAGTCTTATTCAAATTCTTAATCCTATACCCCCCTTCTATCAATTGTCTAAAACTTCAGGCATTTTACATTTTTTAAAACTTTAACCCTCTTTCCTTCAGGAAACGCCACAAATCAGCCTCTTTTGAAGTGCCAACAACTCATAATGAACCTAACATTAGTACGAGCAATAATGGTGATTGTAATCATGAAACGACCCCTGACATACATATAGGTATAAACTACATTGGCCTTTTAAAGCAACCAACACGTCAAATAACAAGTCTGTGGATATTTTTGTAAAAATCATGGCTTGATTTGCCATAAAGTCCCCATTTTCCATTAAATATAAAGGAACAATAAATATTTCATTGTTATGAATGACGTTTCATTTTGGTATATGTACAAAAAGGCACCACTCTTTTATTCAGTTTCTTAACTGGTCCAGGAACACAGTTATCATCCTTTGATTTTCATTGTCTACAAATATAGTCCCTACTGTGGACAGTGTATTAGTTGCAAGTTTTTTCATACCCCTTCAAAATCTATTTCTTCATGTTTAATGCCCCAAATAGCAAGTAGGGGGATGAAATTACACTGTAAAAAAATTTGGGTCATGAATTTTTAAGTAAAGTAGTGATTTGGTCCAGCTGAAAAAGGTTAAAAAATAGTATGTCTGAAGCTGTCAAAAGAATACAATACCCATGAACATAAAATTGTCCATATTTTGAGTTAGAGCTGATGAAATTTTCTAAAATTTTGATATAATTTGTCCCAAAAGTAGTACACCACACTGTAAAAATATTATTGAGAAAGCGCAGGTGGGATTTTTTCAATTTTCATTTATTGTCTAAAAGAAATGCACTACAAAATAAATGTTCTCTGGCGAACTGTTTTGATATTATTGCACTTTGAAAATTTCAAATGAAAAAGACAGGAATAAGTATTAATATATCAAGCAAATAGAATTGTAGTGCTTTGATGGAACAAGCACTTCTCTTTAAATCATCATTACTTCTCCCTGTTGGTTTCAAAAAGAGTAAGATATCACCAGTTTTACTTGTGCACAACCTCTGTCTAATGGGACCACACACATTACATGTATGTTGTAGAACTAAGACTCAAAAACCTGCACAGTGTAGTCACCAACAGGATGACAACAAAGAGGTACAAATAAAAAATACTTGTGCATCATTTCTAGATGATCATTGCTGATTTATCAATCTCTCCATGATTAAAATATTTTTTTAATTCTTCAGAAGATGAAATAAACAAAAACCTGAGTTTCATTTGATACGGTCCACTCAGTTTTCCAGTTTAAATCTCATATTAATTGTTGGCAGATATCTACTGTCCCCGTATTGTTCATGCCAATCAATACAGTTTACCTTGATTCTTACACAGGGGAAATTCTCAAAAAATGGCACCTTTTGACAACAAAATCCAGTTAAGTTTTTAATTTTCTGAAATACAACATGCATTTGAATTTTATATATCTAGGGCATGCTATGCCTTAATTTAGAAATTTTCCAGATGCACAGGTTTGTCTGCACTCAGAGTAAATTTTGTGGTGTAAACACAGCCATTTTTGCCAAAGGGTCCACATGAACTTTAAAGTCATATGATAATTCAACTAAATAATAGATTATCATGAATATTCTTAGAAACTTAAATGGCTAAGCTTGACTATAAAACAAGTGTACAGAGACTTTCTTTTAATAGAAAATGCTTAGGTTCATTTCCCAAGTCATCAGATACTATATAAGTATAAGATCAACTATACTTGGTGTCAGAATTATTGTAAGGTGTAT